AACATATATGTAAATATATACACATATGCTATATATTTATGCTTTTGTTGACTTCCTATGCAAATATATAACATATATGTTGTCTTCCTGGATAGAATGTAAGCTCCTTGAGAGGAAGAAATGCTTCATTTTTTGATTTTGCATCCCCAGCAAAATCAGCACATAGCAGATGTTTAATAAATATATGTTGACTGACTGAGTGATCTGATTCAGCATAATATTGCTTATCTGAATTGTGTTAACTTCTTAACTTCTTCCTGTTCCTGTTACTGAAAATACCTGGGAGTGAGATCTCTTGTAAGGTGGTTAGTGCAAATAGTATCATCGCCATTTTACAGATGGGGAAACTCCTCTTACATCCTCTTCTGGTGCTTCTTCATGGTATGTAGGTGATATTTGGTTCTCAGAGGGTTTGAACACAAGTTCTAGCAGATCCTACCAAGTTGGAAAGGTGTCACTTTGGAGTCAGTGCAGTTCATTACCAGGTTGCCCAAAGAGTGAGGAATTTTTTTCAGCCCTAGTAACAATCAAATACCATCTCCTAATTTGTAAGGGGGGTTTCGCAGTCTGGAAATGCTGGGAATAACACACATGAGTTAAATCACGTCCCTGAAGTAACTAAGCAGAGATAAGAAGTAGAAACTGAGGGTCCGAGGGGTGAACTGAGTTGTTGAGGATCCCAGAGCTAATTAAAGTAGGAGTCAGAATTCTTAATCAAGTCTTGACCCCTTCTTAAAACTTCCTATGAGGTGACTAGTGAAAGTCTCATTATCCTCCAGTCTATAGAAAAGAAATTCTTGACTTCAAGTACAGTGATTTTTCCATGCATCACAGCTGCCTCCCAACAAATTCCTTTCCAGCTCTATCTTCCCTGTTCTCTACTTGATGGTCTCTCTCAGGGGCTATATTCCATGTTCTACAGCCCATTCCAGCTCTAACATTCTATGCCACCACCATCCAGACAACTAGAGGCTCCTCAATCTAAGAAAAGCCCATTTCAGAGATAAAGGACAGCTATCTATGCTGTCAAAGGAAGGTTATCTGGACAAAGGGAGGCAGAGGGGACCCAGTCCCAACCTCTATCCAGGCCTCAACCTCCTCAAACTCTGTTTAACTTTCAGTTTACCTACAGAACCCACATCTTTCCTTCCCGGCCCTCAGTATCTTCCACAGCCTCGGTAACTGGACTGCAGTAATTTATACTTGATCCACACCCTCCTTCCCACACCCAGCCTGCTGACTCCTCTGTTGGGTGGGTCTAACAGCATTTGCTGCCCTTCCTGAAACACCTCTCTGCCTACTGCCATTCTCCTGCCCCATTCTCCTGTTTTAAGAACAGTTGAGCCAGCTAAAGGGGTGTGTGTGTGTGTTTGTGTGTGTTTGTGTGTGTATGTGTGTTGGAAAGCTTTCTCCCTGCCCTCCCCCCTCCCCCTTTTTTTCCTTAGCCTTTGGAAGCAGAGAGCAAAGACGCTCAGAACTGTGGAATTTCAGGGTTAGAAAAGCTCTCAAACTCCTCATTAAGCCTGGACTTTTCTGACAGCTAGTATCTGGACTCCCTACTTGTACTCATTTTGCAATCAAAGAATATGAAAGTGGGAAGGAACTTCAGAAGAGATATAATGCTGACAAAACAATCCCTCTCAAATATCTCGACACAGTCATCCAACCACTGCTTGCAGATCTCCACTGATGGGGAATTCACTATGTCCCAAGGCAGCCCATTCCACTTTGGGGCAGCTCTCTGGTAGTTTTCCTTATATCTTCAAAATCTGCGTCTCTGAAACTTCACTCTCCTCATTCTGCCCTCTGGGGCTAAGCAGGACAAGTCCAGTTCCTGCTACATGTGACTGCCCTTCAAATACCTGAAGACAGGTATCATGTGTCTTCTCCAGGCTAAACATCTCTAGTTCCTCCAGCTGATTCCTATGTGGTATCATTGCAAATTCCATCATCATCCTGATTGCCTTCCTTGAAACACTTATTCCTTGTCCCTTTTTGCCTCACAGCTTTACCATCTCCTGGACTGTGTTAAAACATGAAGCCCTACCTGAGAGGGGATGCACCGACCAAATGGTTGAATTCTGCCTAAGTTAGGAATTTCAAGTGTTAGGAGTAATGCATGTTAGGGACATTCATAGGACCCAGCTCTCCCACACTTACCACCTCTTCCCTGAGAACTGAATGTCTCTTTAGCGATGCCCTTCCCAGCTCAGAGGAACTGTGAAAAGGGACAGACATGAGAAGGAGGAGGAGGAGCAGGAAAAAAGGAGATTGAAGAATAGAAAGGGTGGGACTAAAGCTTCTTCCTCTGCTTTTGTTTAAGAGTCAGAGTCCATGGGTTATTATTAACTCCAATTCACTCTCATATATTTCCCATGCTTCCAAACTCCTCACCGGAATGGACTTACAACCGCCCACCTCTTATATCTAATGAAAGAAGTCTCTCCCTTCCTTCAAGAGGAGGCCCACCTCCTTCAGGAAGCCCTTCCCACCTCCTTAACAGAAAGTGATCTCTCCTTCCTCAAATTTCTCCTAGTAGTTTTCCTAGGCCTCTCTTGTGCCTATTTTATTCTCTTGTTTCATGGTTATCAGTATACTCATCCTCCCCTTATTAGATTGTAAACTCTCTAAAAGCAAAGGCTTTTGAGATATATACATATGTATATCTATGTATACACCCATATATATATACACATATAGGCCTTCACAAATGTTCGCTAAATTGAATTACTTCCCTGATAGTAGTGACCAGTAGTGTGGAGATGGCCCAGAGTAGTTGGTCTTAAGCTTTTTTACCTCTTAGACCATTTAGGTGATGAGAAACCTTCTCCAGAACCCTTTACTTTTACCACATGCTGCCACCACAAAACCCCATCAGAATGAAAAAAAGGAAGCACCGCTTGAGATACAATATTCACAAGGCAGTGTCTGGTTTTGATTAAGCATCATAAGCACACTTTTTCTTCAAGCCAAAAACAAAAGCAGAGACCTCATTGTCTTATAAATATTCATACTACGGAGACTTTCAATTCACAGATTACCAGGACTAGAAGGGATCACAGAACACAGAATGTGAGAACTGGAAGGGAGTTTGTTGGGAAGCAGCTGTGGGATACTAGGGTAGAGCTCTGGATTTGGAATTTTAAAATCTGGGTTCAAATCCTGAGCTAGCTATGTGACCTTATTTAGGCCATTTGCTTTCTTTCTCTGGGCCTCAGAAGATTCAACTGGGAATCAAGAGAGCAGGGTGTTAAAACTTATTAGCTGAATGACTATGAGCAAGATACTTTATCCTCTGAGCCTCAGTTCCTCCATCTGTAAAGGGAGGAATAATAATACTTTTGCTCCCTACCTCACAGGAACATAGAATGTCAGAATGAGAAAAGAACTTAGAACACAGCATGTCTGAGATGAAAATACCCTGAAACAACATACCCAGAATTTTAGAACAGGAAGGAACATTAGAGATCATATATTCCAATCTTGTTTACAAGTGGGCCCAAACAGGGAAAGCAATCAGAGCCATAACTAGAACAAGGAGGATGGGGTTCTAAGATGCCAAAATGGGGTTGGGGGGGTATAGGAACTGGTAAAAGCTATTTTGCCTTACAATCCTCTGGGAAGTAAAGGATCCAGTTACCCCTGGCCACCATCCCCAGGTTCCCATCACCAGGACAACTCCCAAGGGTTAGGGTCCACTCCCTGCTGATATCTATGGGAGCAAGGACCAGGACTCTCTGTGGGATCCTAAGTGGGGCTGTCCCACGTGCTACTATACTAAATTTCCCACAACTGAATTTACCCCAGGCACAATTTTGGCTAGTTACTTTGGAAGCATTTTGTGAAAAGTCCTAGCAATTTAGTTGACAATTTAAGACATCCTTGGACCCCCCCCTTCCCCTTCCCCCAAGACTACCAAGGGTTCCCTCACATTATTCTTAGAGAATCACTAGGATATTGTAAGCTTATGGCAGGCAAGATAACCTGTCTAGTGCTACTTTGTATCCCCCATACAATGTCTGAGCACAGGGTTACTTATGCATAACGCATAGAACACTGAATTTGGGCTCAAAACCTAGCTCTCGTGCTTACTGTAGACTGGCTCTGAGTCTCAGTTTCCTCCTCTGTAAAACTGGGTTAACAATCTTGGTTCTGCTTAACTCATGGGGGGTATTGTGAGGAAAACACTTAGTAAAACTTAAAGAGCTATACAGATGTTAATTAATATTTTCCAGTGCTGTGTAAATGCTTATTTTGATCTGATCACAGAAACACAGAATGTCTGAGCTGAAAACAAACCTCTCACTTAACAGATGAGCTAGAGGCCTATAGAGGAGAAATGAATTGCCCAAGGTCACACAGCAAGTTAGGAACAGGTGATCTGCACCCCCCTCATGCCCCATCCCAACACACTTTCTGAAAGCGCTGCACCTGAAGAGGGTTGTATTTCCTCCTGCACCAGGGTCTGACAAGCTCCCAACCTCAATTTATAATAGTTGCCTTGTTCAGACTCATCAGAGTGGGAGGGAGACAGAATGAACCTTGGCTTATTCTCTATGTTGAGCTGACATTTGATTTTAGTAGCCTGGAATGGTTATGTCCCTTCCTCTGGAATCCTTGAGTTGGCAGGATCAGACCATTCCCTCACTATGTTGTGCCTTCAAGTTCCTTGGTCTAGGAACTACAGATGGCTGGCTGTCAGATGCACCTTCTTTCTATGTTCCCTGCCCTTTACCTAGACCTAGCCACTCCTGGGCTTCTTCTTGACTCCCCCTCCCACCCCTACCCTCACTCACCAGATTGGCCTGTCATTTGGCAGAGATCCTGGCCTCTAGAATTACAGACAGGGCCTTGGCGGGGGCTCAGGTGTCCAGCAGAGTTTCAAGCTCTCCCACTGCCCTCTGCCTCCTCTCTCCGCCTCCCCCAATGTCTGAGCCCACTTCAGACTAGACATCACCCTTGGCTATTGCCCACAGCTCCTCAATCACCAGGCTACTTACTTCCATTTTCAGTTGCCGGTTGCTGCAAGGCTCCCTCAGCGCCGCCAAAACCCTCATCATCGTTTTCAATGCCTGCGATTTCACTCTCCTGCTGGGCCAGGAAGGCAGCCGCTGGATCTTCCTCCGCTGGCCCTGGGGCCCCACCGCCGGAGGAGAATAAGCCGAAGTCATCAGACATGGTTTACCAGACTGTGTATCCACACAGTCCACCACTGCCTTGCCGAATGTGTGCCCAGCCCTAGTGCCTACTGCTCTGCCCACCCCTCCACCCCACCTCCTAGTGCACAGGGCACAGCAGTGGCTCCTGTAACCCGATACTGCCAGCGGAGCTGAACCCGCCTAGGAGGGGAGGGGAGGGCAGAAGAAGGCCAGAGCTGGGCCCAGCACCGCAAAGAGATCGCTTCCTATCGGGCTCAGCTGTCACTGCGGCTGAAGGAAGCCCGGGGGAGGAGCCTGCCCAAAAGCAGGGAATTTGGTGATGTCAACAGTTACAGTCGGTCAGGAATGAGAGTGGGAGGATCCCAGAGAGCCTGGGTTCAAAAACTCCAACGCAAAAATGCAGGAAAAGAGCTGAGGAGCTAGATAATAAATCAAGATAAATGCGCTTATAAGCGCAGTGTAAATCATTAAAGAGGACATAGTTGTCCAGAAAACGGGAGACAATAGTCCAGCTATCCTCTGGTCTGGTACCAACCGCAGTACTGACCCTAGTTCTGGGTGGTAGTGTGATGTAGCTGGGTTTGATTTTTTGCTCTGCCATTTACTAGTTGTGTGACCTTGGACAAGTCATTTTACATTTCAGGGCCTTAGTTTCCTCAGGTAGAAAGTGGGGGAAGGGAAAGAGTTGATGTAGCTTCGAGGTCACAAAATGTTTTCTTTGAAAAAAGGATTAGATTTAATCGACTTTGATAAAGGCCTCATTTCTAAATATAGAGAAGAACTAAGTTAAATTTACAAGAATACAAGTCATCCCCAACTGATAAATGGTCAAAAGATATGAACAGGCAGCTCTTGGAGGAAGACACTAAAGCTATATAGTCATACAAAAAATGTTCTAAATTACTAGTGATTAGAGAAATGCAAATCAAGACGACTCTGAGGTACCACATCACATTTATCAGAATGGCCAACATGACAAAATAGGACAATGATAAATGCTGGAGAAGATGTGGGAAAATTGGAACACTAATGCATTTTTGGTGGAGTTGTGAACTGATCCAACCATTCTGGAGAGCAATTTGGAACTATGCCCAAAGGGCTATAAAACTGTGCATACCCTTTGACTCAACAATACCACTTCTAGGTGTGTTTCCCAAAGAGATCATAAAAACAGGGAAAGGTCCCACATATACAAAAATATTTATAGCAGCTCTTTTTGTGATGGCCAAAAATAGCAAATTGAAGGGATAGCCATCAATTGGGAATGGCTGAACAAGCTGTGGTATATAAATGTAATGGAATACTACTGTGCTATAAGAAATGATGAGCAGGTGTACTTCAGAAAAACCTGGAAAGACATATGAACTGATGCTCAGTGAAGTGAGCAGAACCAGGAGAACATTGTACACAGTAACAGCCACACTGTACAATGAATAACTTTGGTAGACTTAGCCCTTCTCAGCAATGCAAGGATCTAAGACAACTCACAACGTAAAAAGCTATCCACATCCCAAGAAAGAACTATGGAGTCTGAATGGATATAGAAGCATACTATTTGCTCTCCTTTTCTTCTGTTGTTTTGTTTTGATTCTTCTTTCTTGTGGTTCCTCCCATTGGTTCTAATTCTTCTTTACAACATGACGAATGTGAAAATATGTGTAATATGAATGTATAAGTGGAGCCTATATCAGATTGCACACCCTCTTGGGGAGGAGGGAGGAGAAAGGGGGGGGAATTTGAAACTCAAAATCTTCGGAAGTGAATGTTGTTTAATAAAAACTATTCAATTTTTTTAGGTTTGAATTTTCTCCATCCCTTCATCCCCTCCCCATCCCATTGAGAAGGCAAGAAATACAATACCCATTATACAAATGAAGTCATGCAACACTCATTTCTACATTAGCCATATTCCAAAAAGGGAGAAAAAAGAAAAGAAAAAGAAAAAAATGCTTCAGTCTTCATTCTGAATCCATCAGTTCTCTGTCTGGAGATGGACAGCATTTTTCATGATGAGTCTTTTGGAACTGTAGTATATCATTGTATTGATCGAACTTACTAAGTCTTTCATAATTATGTTTACAATATTGCTGTTTCTGTGTAAATTATTCTCCTAATTTTGGTCACTTCACTTTACGTCAATTCATATAAATCCTATGAGGTTTTTCTGAAACTATTCTCTTCATTATTTCTTACAGCACAATAATGTTTCATCACATTCATATACCATAACTTGTCCAGCCATTCCCTAAATAAGGGGCATCTCTTTGGTTTCCATTTCTTTGCCAACACAAAAAGGGCTGCTATAAATAGCTTAATGAGTCCTTTTCCTTTTCCTTTGATATCTTCAGAGTATGGATCAACAAGTGGCATTGCAAGGTCAAAGGTTTATAGCTTTTGGGGCATAGTTCCAAACTGCTCTCCAGAATGGTTGGACTAGTCCACCAAAAATGGATTAGCATGCCTATTTTCACACATCCCCTTCAGCATTTGTCTTTTCCTTTTCTGTCTTGTTGGCCAATCTGAAAGATGTGAGGTGGTATCTCAGAGCTGTTTAAATTTGCGTTTCTCTAATGATTAGTGATTTAGGGCTTTTTTTTTTGTGAGGCAATCAAGATTAAGTGACTTGCCCAGGGTCATACAGCTAGCAAGTGTCAAGTGTCTGAGGCCGGATTTGAACTCAGGTCCTCCTGACTTCAAGGCTGAAGCTCTATCCACTGTGCTACCTAGCTGCCTGATTCAGGGCATTTATTCATATTTAAATATTATTGATAGCTTTGATTGTTTTTCTTCTGAAAACTGCTTGTTCATATCCTTTGACCATTTATCAATTGGGGAATGGCTCTTATTCTTATAAATTTGTCTTAGTTCCCTATATATTTGAGAAATTAGATGTTTATTAGAGAAACTTGCTGTAAAATTTTGTCCCCAGTTTCTTGCTTTCCTTCTAATTTTGGCTGCTTTGGTTTTATTTGTGAAAAAACTTTTTAATTTTTATGTACTCAAAATTATCCATTTTAACCTCTTATGAACCTCTCTGTTTTTTCATTGGTTGTGAATTCTTTGCTTATCCATAAATCTGACAGGCAATTTCTTCCATGCTCCACTAATTTGCTTTTGCTATCTTTTTATGTCTGAATCATGTACCCATTTTGAGCTTATCTTGTTATACAGTGTGAGATGTTGGTCTATGCCCAGTTTCTGCCAGACCACTCTCCAGTTTTCCCAGTAGTTCTCAGATAATGAGTTCTTGCCCAAATAGTTGGGATCTTTTGGGTTTACCAAACACTATGTAATTGTGCTCATTTGCTTTTGTATATTATGGACCCAATCTATTCCACTGATCGACTCTTTTTCTTGTCTAGTCCCAAATTGTTTTGTACATTACAGCTTTTTGGTATAATTTGAGTTTTCTAGTACTGCTAAGCTTCCTTCCTTCACATTTTTCTTTTATTGATTCCCTTGATATTCTTGACTTTTTATTCTTCCAGATTTTGTTATTATTTTTCTAACTCTATAAAGTAATTCTTTGTTAGTCTGATGTGGCATTGAAGAAGTAAATGCATTTAGGTAGTATTATAATTTAGCCTTCCCATGAACAATTAATATTTCTCCAGTTATTTAGATCTCTTTATTTGTGTGAAGAGTGTTTTGTAATTGTGTAATACAATTCCCGTGTATCTTGGCAGGTAGACTCCCAAGTATTTTATAAAATCTGCAATTATTCTAAATGGAATTTCTCTTTTTATCTCTTCCTGCTGGATTTTGCTGGTAATATATAGAAATGGTGATGATTTATGTGGATGTATTTTATTTCCTACAATTTTGCTAAAGTCGTTAATTGTTTGGGCACTAGTTTTTTAGTTGCTAACGTTCTATAAGAATTCCATCATATCATCTGCAAAATGTGATAATTTTATTTTGTAATAGCCTGTGATTATTCCTTCAATTTCTTTTTCTTCACTTATTGTGATAGCTAGCATTTCCAGTATATTATTGAGTAGTAATGATGAAAATGAACATCTTTGCTTTCACCCCTGACATTATTTAATAGGTTTCTAGTTTATCCCCATTATAGATAATGCTTGCTTTTGATTTTAGAGATATACTACACTTATGATTTTAAGTTCCATATATTCCTATGCTTTCTAATTTTTTTAAAAAATAAGAATGGATGTTGTATTTTTGTCAAAAGCCTTTTCTGCATTTATTGAAATAACCATATGATTTTTTCTCTGTATTGATATAGTCAATTATGCTTATAGTTTTCCTGCAATTCTGTTACAAATCCAGCCTGGTCATAGTTTATGATCTTTGTGATATTTTATTGTAATCTCCTTGCTAGTACTTTATTAAAATTTTTTTCATTAATGCCATTAGTGAAATTAGTCTATAGTTTTCTTTCTCTTTTTTTCCTCTCCCTGATTTAGGTATCAAAACTGTATTTGTGTCATAGAAGGAATTTGGTAGGTAGGAATCTACCAATTTTTTCAAACAGTTTATATAATGCTGGAATTTATTGTCCTTTACATGGGTGGTAGAATTTATTTGTAAAACTGGTCCTGGCAATTTTTTTTTAAGGAAATAAGTTATGCCATGTCCAATTTTTTTTTTACTAAGATAGGGTTATTTAAGTATTCTATTTCATCTTCTGTTAACCTGAGAAATTTGTATTTTTGTAAATCTTCATCCATTTTACCTAGATTGTCAGTTTTATTGGCATGCTTTTATTTCATCTTCATTGGTTATACATTCATCCTTTTCATTTTTAGTACTGGTAATTTATCTTCTTTCTTTTATCAAATTAGCCAATGATTTATCTATTATATTGCTTTTTTCATAGAACTAGCTCCTAGTTTTATTAGTTCAATTTTTAAACTTTTACTTTTATTAATCTCCCCTTTGACTTTCAGGATTTCTAATTTGGTATTTAATCAAAGGTTTTTAATTTGTTGGTTTTTTAGGTGGTCTTTTTAATTGGGTGACCAATTCCTTGATCTGCTCTTTCTTTTATTGATGACATTTAGATATAAATTTTCCTCTAAGTACTGCTTTGGTATGTTGTTTCATTGTTGTCATTATTTTGAATGAGATTATTAATTGTTTCCATGATTTGTTCTTTGACCCATTCATTTGTTAGGATTAGGTTATTTATTTCCAATTGATTTTTAATCTATGCTCCAAAGGTCCTTTACTGAATATAGCTCTTATTGCATTATGGTCAGAAAAAGATGCATTTAACATTTCTGCTTTTCTGCATTTGTGTGAGAAGTTCTTAATGCC